TTATAATGTACCAATAACAGGTTAATTAAAAAAAAAGATTCATTTCCAGAGAGATAAGTCACTTAGCAGAAAAGCAGAAATCAGAAGTTCAGTGTTAGCTCTTGAGTTTCAGTGGTTAACACTATTTATGTTTCAGAGCATAACATTTGTGCCAGTAAAAAAAAAAAAAGGGGGGGGGGGACTTGGAGGCTGTTTTTCTGTTTTTTCCTAGCTACTTCCAATCTAGATAATCTAGATAACGATTCCAGAGGCTTGGGAGGGTGGAATGAGGGAGGGAAGAGAGGGTGGCAGACATCCATGGAAGTGGACACTGTTTGGAGAGGGCCAAGAAGGTAGCAGGGGGGACGGACAACAGGTTTGGCCCAGCAGAAGCACCAGGGATTCATGGTCTTGGCACAGCTTGGAGGAAAGGGCTATAAGCATTTCTGTAAAGTCAAGCCGGGTCATCGCTTGGGGCTTCCAAGTCTAGGAGTACGAAGGAGTTGAGAGCGAATTCCACCAAGGAGGTGAGCTGTGTGGAGATAACAGCCCCTGAGTGAATCTGGAGGTGAAGGGAGATGGTGTCTCAGTGAGCATCAGTGTGGACAGAGGCTCCCAGCCCCTAGGAAGTTAAAGTTCAGGCACATTCTTGAGGATTACATGCAACCCCAGAAAGGGAGAGATTTTATCCAGAGATATGCGTGTGTAAAGTGATATACCAAGAGAGTCAGGGAGGGCGGGGGCACTTCTCAGACCAGGGCGCTGACCTGATCTAGGTGAAGAGTCTGTGAGGAATGAGTCGGCCTCAGGATTTCTGCAACATCTATCCCTGATGGTAGTCTAAGCTCAGGCATCCTGGGCTCAGCACAAACGCAGTGAAGGATTCCCACAGGAAGCCTCGTTATGGTCCCAGGATGTCTGAGGTGCAGCTGTCACGGCTGCTGTGGTGAAGTAGGTTCCATCACTACTGTGATGATCAAGTGTGTTCATCATGCAACATGCCTAGAAGATGCCAGGCATCTCATAGGTAATCCAAAGAGGTTTATTGAGTTTTGCTAAGGTATAATTGACAAATAAAAATTGCATATATTTATAGTATACAACATGATATATTGATATAGTCTTTAAAATGATTAAATCAAGTTAATTAACATGTGCATCACCTCCCAGACTTATTTTTGTGCTGAGAACATTTAAGACCTTCTCTCTTGACTATTTCCAGGTATCCAGTACATTATTATTAACATATCACTTATTCATCCTGCTCAATTAGAACTTTGTACCCAATGACTAATATCGTCCCATTCCCCTCCACTCCCAACACCCCCAGACCCTGACAACCACCACTCTACTCTCTGCTTCTATGAATTTCACTTTTTATATTCCACATATAAGTGAGATCATTCAGTGCCTAGATTATTTCACTCAGCATAATGTCCTCTAGGTTCATTCAAGTTGTTGCAAGTGGCAGGATTTCTTTCCTTTTTAAGGCTGAATAGTATTCAGTGTGTGTGTGTGTGTGTGTGTGTGTGTGTGTGTGTGTGTGTCTTAATCCATTTATCCACTGATGGACAGTGAGCTTGATTTTATATCTTGTCTATTGTGAGTAACATTACAATGTGTTCAGATGTCTCTCCAACATACCAATTTCATGTTCCTTGGGTATCTACTCAGAAATGGGATTGCAGGATGATATGTTAGTTAGGGTAGTATTTTTCATTTTCTTGAGGAAACTCCACATTATTTTTCTCCATACTGTTCTCCACAGTGACTGTTCCAATTACATGTCCACCAACAGTGGACAAGGGACCCCTTTACCCGACATCTTGGACATTCAAGAAGTAATACTGAAGTGCCAAGGAGAGGCCCTCAGGTGTGTGATTAGCCAAAGGAATCATTGTAAATTTTACACTCCAAACTTCAGGACCTGTTTACTTTTATGTTAAGCGCTGTTCTAATAGGCTTGTTTAGCTGAAGTATAAGCTAAAGCCAGGTTAGAAACAGCAGATTAAAAAAGAGATCAAAAGCTTATGATTATCATAACGACCAGAAAGCTGTGAAATATGAGTTTGATAGCAGAAGAGATAGAAAAACAATAAACACCAAACACAATGACAGAAGCACATGCTTTCAGGGTTTGTAACATTAGGAAACTCAATCCCAGAAACTTAACCAGGGCATGAGTACCTCCTAGTATTACACAAAATGTAACCATTGATGTTCATATTCATGTCTTTGATTTATCAAGAAAATGTTTCACCAGCACTTTGAGGAGGTAGAAATGTAAGAAAGGCATTTTGAGTGATTTCCATACAGAATACTTAAAATCACAAAGGAGCTCCATAGAAATTGTAAATCCTCAGGGGTTTTGGACAGTGATAGTTTTATTGATTCGTCTAAATACTTTTTTTTTTTTTTGTTTTTTGGTTTCCCTGTGCACAATTACATGCCATTTCTTAGTGTCACTTGGTAATGAACAATCCTTATGCTTCTCATTTCACAACCTGAGGTCATGTTGTGAGCCCCACCTTTCCTGTGGCATATGTCATCACTGCTCAGGTTCCCCCCTCGCTTCCCAGCAGACATAAAATCTCTATAACAAATCAAGAACCCAGGGAGAACTCGCAAGCTCCTGAGGTGGGCCTGGACATTCCTGCGGTGGACACACAGGGTCTCATGCCAATGGCGCATGCACCTGGGATACCTCTCTGGATACCTCTCTGCCTCTGCTTCCTTGACAGCAGGCCTAGGTTCCACCCAGCCTCCTTTTTTTTTTTTAATAGTTGCTCATGACAATACAATGATCTTGACATATCATACATTTGATTCAAATAGGGTATGAATTCTCATTTTTCCATGTGTACGGATTGGAGGATCACATTGGTTATACATCCATGTGTATACATACAGCAGTCCTAGTGTCAGTTGTATTCTGCTGCCCTCCCTATCCCCCTCCCTTCCCCTCCCCTCCCCTCCCATCACTATTCTCTACCCATTCTACTGTGACAATTATCTCTCTCTTTTTTTTTCTTCCCTTCCCCCTCACACCATCGTGTATGTATTTTGTGAACCCATGAGGGTCTCCTTCCATCTTCCATGCAATTCCCCTTCTCCCTCCCTTTCCCTCCCTCCTCTTTTCCTTGTTTCATTGTAATCTTCTTCTCATGCTCTTCGTTCCTACTCTGTTTTGAGTCACCTCCCTTATATTAGAGAAGACATTTGGCATTTGTTTTTTTAGGGATTGGCTAACTTTGCTTAGCATAATCTGCTCTAGTGCCATCCACTTCCCTGCAAATGCCATAATTTTGTTACTTTTTAGTGCTGAGTAATATTCCATTGTGTATAAATGCCACATATTTTTTTTTATCCATTCGTCTGTTGAAGGGCATCTGGGTTGGTTCCACAGTCTAACCTCCTTTTCATGGTTCCTCTCTTGCACAGGCACCGCGGGCATGCAAAGCGCATTCACTCTCATGGGGCTGACAGCAAGATCACCGGCATGGGGTAAACATCAACGCCTCTGGAGAACACTGCAGAACTCCAGGAGAGCTCATCTTCTAATCTCTGGAAATTACCCTAAGAACTTGAGAAGCTTCTGTTTAGAGCAACAGCCTGCCATCCTGAAACTGGACTGCTTACGGCAGGCACACTGAGAGAGCATCAACCACACACAAAGAGGGAGAGAGCCAGAGAGAGCCAGAGAGACCCAGAGGTAGGGGAGGAGGGAAACAGACGTGCCAATGTGCTTGCTGTATCTGGGACGCATTTCAGGGTTAAGAACAAAAGCAGAATACCCTCATTTTCCCACAGACTTGTAACCTCCTTTCACTAGCATCTACGCTTACTAAAATTTATGAGGAGGAAAACGGCCACTCTAAATAGGCAACATTTAACTCACGTTTGATAGCAAAGCACAAAAGACAATAGTGTCCTAAAAGAAATCTGTTCCCCACATCAATATGAGGACTGAAATAGCTGTTGATTTCTCATAGGTTTAATGTTCTCCAGGTCCTGCCTGTTGACTCCTTTTAAATCCCTTGATTCATGGCTTTGGAAAAGGGATCCGAGGATTGTGCTTCATTCCATACTCCTCACAGAATTAGTTCTATTAATTTTATTCACTTAATGATCCCTTCTTTCTCCTTTGGTATCATTGGTTCAGCTTCCTAAAGTCATCTGTTTTTGTTTTCTAGTAGTATTTCCCCCTTCCTTTTATTCTAGATGACATCTTCACATTTTGAATGATACAAAACTATAGCTAAAATAATGCACAGGAAAAGCAGGTGGAGAGTGCACATGATATTTCAGATTGTTACATCTTTGTCTCATTTTCCCTTTCCCATCTCACTTTTCTCTTCTCATGTTGTATTTTTTCAAGAAAAAAAAAAAAGAAAAAGCAAAGATGCTACAGCTCCTCAGGGACAAGTCAATTCAAGATTAATAGTTGCATAACAATCTATAGAAACTAAACTTCATCTGAATTTAAAACTGTAAACTGTTTTGTTTTTTCCCCAAACTAAATTGGTCAGATATGAAAAAAAAGCAATATAAAGCATTCTAACTTTTTATTTGAGCACAGACAACATGTTGGCTAATTTGTATTGATTTTACCTGCTAATTTAGATGCATTCATGATTTTAAAAGCAGATTCCTGTAATTTGCTTTTCTATAAAATGTCACCAATGCATTAAATACTTTGAAAACAGTCTTTGTAAATCAATCCACACTTATTAGATTTATTTAAGCGATAACATTAGAATTCCATGCTGAGATTTAATTTGGTTTTAAAATAACTCCCTACATGCAGAACATTTCCAAGGGTGGAGAGGCTAGTTCCCAATTATTTTCATGTCGTCTGTGCCAAATGTGTTTAAATGACTGACTTACCTACAAGCTGTGGGTTGTCTGGAAACTTCTCTGTTTGGTGGGCTGCACACATTTTTACCCATGGCAACATTATAGGGACAAGAAAAAAAGGAAAAATGCAGAATCAAAGCCGAATGAAAAGTAAACAGTCTTACCTTGTTGGTGTCAAAGGTGTTATAAACTTGATCAACATGTTCATTGGCCTTTTGATTCAGACCTTGCAGACCCAAAAGTGCCTTAAATTCATGCAGCGTTTGCAGGCCAGATGGATACTCCATCATAAATGCTCTGTACCACACATAGGGGTCTTGTGCAAGAATTCCTGTCTGATCACCAGCTATGGATTTCCCATTCCCCATGGTGATTTGAAATCTCCGGTCTTTTTCTCAAGTTGTTTTCATGTAAGTTCTCTCTTCATTTAGTCTCTCGCTCTTCACTACTGACATATGCTCTTGGAAAGCTACTCTAAACCTCTTACTAGCTACAGGCTAAATAAGAACAGAAAGCCAGTGAGATTAACTTATCTGTACAGTTTTAAGACTGAGGTCACTCACCTCTGATGGTATTATGCTTACAGCATCCCAGAGGATGATTTTCTACAAAGAACAAGGGCAATATTTTTTTAGTGAGTGCGATCTTTGTCATCTTGTTGGTCATCCACTATGCCTACATTATCAACTAGCACAGTGAGTCCAGGTGAAGGAACTTTTCAGGTGTTTTGAAATAGTAACTTTTCATTGCTATTTTACGGATGTGGAAACTGAGACTTGTGAATCCAAGGAATATTTCAGTGGGTTAGGGGAGGTGGAACAAAGTCTAGCATAGGTTCTAGACATTATCCCATCACTTACTAACTTCATTGAAATATTATCTTCTCAAGTATCGTTCCCCAATCTAAAATTGTAATATGAGTATCTATTTGTTCCTGATAGTCTAAACATAAATTTAGATGAAGAACATTTTTCTCAAGGGAAAATTATACGTTTGGAGTATTGTTAAATTAAAAGGAAGTCTATGTATAAGAAAGGAATCATGGCTAGAGAAAATCAGATGATTGGTGGTAAGTCAAGCTGTGGATGTAGTAGCAAGTCGAGTCTGGTCTGAAGATAAAAGAACATACATGGCTGTGTCTTCTGGCTTCCTTTTTTTGTTTGTTTTTGTTTTTCTCTTTGTTCCTCTTTTTTGTCTCTCAAGTCTGTACCTTTGTATGCTTTCTTCCTGCTAGTTTTGTCTCACTTCAGTTCCCAAGCTAATCTAATCTTGTCCTGGCTAAGTCCCAATTGCAAATGGACTTGAGAACCGAGTCAAAGAACCTAAGAGTGTATCCACCGTCCAGTAACGGAAACAAAGCACCTCAAGTGGTCCTCAAGCATCTTGCTATCAATCATATGCAGGATCAGATTCCCAGGTGGAATGCAATTCTGTTAATCCTGAATTCTGGTTACCACCTCCTAACCATAGATGGATCTCTGCGTTAGTCCTGGACTAATTACCTATTTAATAAACCCCCGGTTCCCCAAGAACTGGAACCATTAGACCTGAAATAAACTGTCTTGACAGGAAGTGGGAGTGGTTAAAGTGAATATGATTAATTCTGTTTCAAACATATCAGTGCAGACTTTCAGTAGAACATGCTCTACTTCACAACTAGAGTTAAATAATAGGTGGACGAATGAGTCATAGTAATTTGTAACTCATTCAGGTGGAAGTATCACTTGAAACCATTACAGGAGATGAGGTTTCTTACGTCGAGTCAAAAGAAGCTGAGACAGGGGTGCCTGAGCCCTGTGGATGATCCAGGTAGGAACTATGCTGAATATTCTGTCAGCATTCTCCTGGGGTGTTTTTCATCAGATTCCTTACATGTCTGCCAAAAGGATGCCCAGAAGACTGGCTTCTTATCACCATGACCCTCTATTCATCACCTGTTTTTACACTGAAGGAAAAATGGATACCGATGATGGCAGAAGAAGAACAAGAACGTCCCTTGTGGAGGAAAAACTTTAGATAATACAAGAATCCAAGGACTTAAAACACAAAAGCTGTGTTTCTTCACATAAATTACACATATTAAAGTGTATATAAAGACGAGTTGCTGATGCAAAATAAAGTTTTAAACTATCTCTACTATGAGATTTCTTACATTGAATACGATATCTGTTTCCAAAAATCAGGAATTGTTTGGTGTAAAACATTAACCAGTGATAAGGAAGTGGGGAAATATCTTCATTTATAATATGTCAAAGAATAATTCAAATAATTACAATAAATATAATTATAAATGTGAAAAATGCTTGAAGAAAAATGTAAACTGGTACTCTAGGACACCAAGACTTGAACATATAGAAAGGTATATTTTGATATTGAATTTAGAAAAGCTTCATTTAAAAAAAATAAGTCCATTCTCTATATATTATTCTATGCTACAACCACAAACTCAAGAAAATGCAAATAAAACTTAGGGGGTAGTAGCTACTGAAAAAGTTAATTCTAAGTTTTTTAAAAAAATTTTTTCTTTAGTTATATATGGACACAATATCTTTATTTATTCATTTTTATTTTTATGTGGTGTTGAGGATCAAACCTAGTGCCTCACACACGAGAGGCAAGCACTCTACCGTTGAATTACAGCCTTAGCCCAATTCTAAGTTTTAATGAGAATTTAACAGGTAAGTATACACAAGAAATTATAAAAATTAAATTATTAAATATCCTTACCAAAACAACCTGGGTCTGGCATGAGAAAATACTGAGCAATCAGTGAAAAAGCAGAGGGACTTTTTGTTTTTTTGTTTTGTTTAAAATACAAAGAGCAATCTAACATACAAAGATAGCATTGAAGATTAGTGGGGAAAGGATTGATTATCCACATGATAATTCTGGGACACTGCTGAGGCTATGTGGAAACACATATACACACATACACAAACAAAATGGGGTTTCTGTTGGGGAAATAGCCCAGTGGTAAAGTGATTGCCTAGTGTGCTTGAGGCCTTGGGTTCAATCCCCAGAGGAAGGAAGGAAAGAAGGAAGGAAGGAAGGAAGGAAGGAAGGGAGGGAGGGAGGGAGGCAGGGATAGATTTCTTTACTTCTAACCTACATTAAAACAACAAAGACATATCACGTTTAACCTATTTGATCAGCAAGATAAGAGTGTGACAATTCACTGGGTAGCTAAAGGTATGAAGAAATAAATGTTCATACATTACAGAGGAGGGTATTTTAATGTAATTTTTATGCAGTGTTGTTAGGCAATGTCTACTGTAATAGCATCTATATATCTTTCACTCTGCAATACACCTTGTTAGGTTTGACAGAAAAAATTGCAAATGTGTGAATTATAAGGATATTCACTATTATAAGGATACTCACGATTATATGCATGCAAATCCAAAAGAACAAAAAAATTAATAAATATCCATTGATAAGGGAATGGTTAAGTATATTTCGGAATTTCCACAGAATGGAATTATGAGGAATAGTTAAAAATAACAAAATATGATCTCATTACCTCTTAGTACATTATATATTATTACATATATCCATTCTGATTTGAAAAGTTCTTGATGGTATTCAGAGAGAGACAATGCAAGATCATCTTTTGGATGAAATTACATCATATTTCCAGTTATATAATGGTCAACATGGTTTTACATACATTGAGTGTTTGGGAGTAGATTCACAAGTGATTGGTAGAACAAACTAATATAGAATTTCAATAAAAAAACTAGTAAGAGCATGCTTCTTAGGAGGAATAATTAAGGGGCTAAGGACACAAATGAATGAAGAATTTTCATAATATCATATTGAACACATTCCACATTTTGTACTATGTGCATTATGTAAATTAAGATTGTACAATTCCACAAATGAGTCTTAATGCTTTTATTGATTTTGTTCAAAGCTGAAGACATTTCTGAACAAACAATGTAATCAGTTATTAAGGAAAGTGTTAAAACAGTTTCTTACATGTGTCTAAATATAAAAATACAATTCTTAGCATCTGTTATATATATGTTCTGCTTAAGAGATTTATTATTTAAGAGATTTATTATTTAACTATAATTAAATCATAAAACAATCACATAAACTTTAACTCAAAGATGTTTTGGAGGATTTATACTTTCTGCTTTCCTGAGGATTGGCTGCAGTGGAGAAAAGGTACAATATCTTTCAACACACATTTCAAGAGAACAAGATTCTACAGTCCTTTGTATATTGATTTTGAAATCCACTGTTTTCGAGCTCTTACAATTATCTTAGTAAAAGCAAAATTTAAGCTTAAGTGACATTTTCATTTGTCTTAGTAGCTTGCATGAAGATTAGAGAACTCTAAAAATTATTTCCAAGAAACAAAAAATAGGAAATAGGGTTGGCAAATTTATAAATTGCAGATCAGTCTCCATCTCTAAAGTATACAATTTTTTAAAGTTGGAAAGTAAAAAAATTTACAATAACAATAAAGAAAGGAATTTTTAAAAAATCTTCCAATTTTCTTATTAGCATTTTTGAAAGGGAATACCTTTGCTGACTTTTAGTTTTGAGAAGTCCTTCCATTGCTCTCTAAAGGGAGACCATGCCCTGCAACACTTTGTTTAACGGGTCTAGAAAGGAGATTATCTTCTTTCAGCAAAGCTTCTAAATAAACGTCAATCTGCTCCAGGTCATCTGCTGGACCACCCTGGAAGAGAGAAGCGATACTCACACCAGGGAAAGCAGCTGAGAGTTTACTCACGTTTTCTGGGCAGGCTCCTGACAGTCTTCTCTATGATTCATGTAGCAACAGAACCTGTCCTGTGTTTGAATAATGCTTTTAACCTTTTCCAAGTGTTTTCTCGTTTAATCTCATTTTATGCTCACAAGGGGCTAGGAATTCATATCGTATTTTCTTCTCTACTGGAGGTTAGTTCCACTGGCATTTTCCTCCTTTTTAAAAATTACTTGTCATATCACTTGCCCCTCCCCACCCCCATGTCATCCTTTTCTGTTTTAGGCTCTCGTGTCCTATTTTAAAAATTTATGAATCTTCAGCCTTTTAGGCCAAACCAGAAAGATAAAAATTTGGCTTCTGTTTCTCCTCTTCCTACTATAGCCTCTTTTCTCCCAGCCTCTGCCTTGCTGCCCTGCTCCGTCTCTCTATCCTTCCTTTCCCACTCCCCCTCAGCTCCACATCGGTGTAATTTCACAGTCTCCTTCCCTGGGCTTCTGGATCCCTGGACAGATCCATGGGATATGCTAAATCTCTCTCCTTCAGGCCCAATCAGGGAGTCGACTATCTCTCCAACTGAGCAGATGGATGAGGAGACTGTTAGGATGGACCTTCCAAAAATTATCCCAGTTTTACTACTGTCCCACCAAGTGTCCAACTCCTTCATCTTCATCTCCTCTTCCCTTTCCTCAGTCCATTAAATATGCTTCAGCTTTATTCCTTCTGCTCTAGACTAGCTCAGTTTTCTAACAAGGGTTCCAGTTTTGTGACTGGGGTCCTGTTCCTGCAAAAGGGTTTCAATGACATTGATATTTACCTAAGTTTCCAAATATAATAACCACAAAGAGTTCCCTGTGGCTCTTGCTAACACAGCCAGGACTTACCTTTTAGGTATAGTCTAATCCTTTGGCTATTAGTCTCTGCCTGGCAGATGAAACTTCCTCTTAGGACCTTACGTGGATTTTACACTCCGTTTCTTGTGTGTCTGCCCTACTCTTATCTGCTTCAGGCCCATCACAACTCAGTTCCCTGTTTTATTTTACCACAGTTGCTCCAGTAGTCAGAAAAGTAATGATGGAAACTTTAAGTGGTGGAATGAGAGTGATAAATATATTTGAGTCAGAACTCTTTGGGTATCTTTTCAATGATACTAGGTAAAAGATTTCTATTCTGCTGGCTAAAGTCCCTCACATCCCTACTAAACTTTGTGAATAAAGCAAATTTAACTAATATAATTATCTTGGTTAGTCTGGGAAAACTGGCCAAGGTAATTAGCCAAGGGGTTTGGTATTGAAGATAATTTTTTAATTTTTTAAAAAGTTAGTAAATTATTATTCTTTCATTTTTTTTTCTATAGCCAAACAGATTTTCTATGCTGAGAATCAAAAATTTTTAAGGTTTTTTTTTATTCTCATTAAGTGGTATTCAATTTCTGTGATACAGAATTTCTCTGTTCTTTCAAGCGTTCACTGTTATTAAAACCAAAATTGTCACTGAAACCCTACCATGCCCAGGTTCCATTCCAATCTTTTTATTTATAAAATCATTTACATGGAAAAGCATTTATGGCCACAAGACCACAAGGAGCTCTGCTAAATCCCACTCTCACAACAATAATGAACTTGAAGAACTGGCTGAAGTGGTGGTGTTGATAGAAGCACGAATACTGTTACCATAATGTAGACATAGCATTAATCATTCATTTTTATTTTAATAGCATAGCATTTTAATTGTGCCTATATTACTGAAGGGGGGTAACTTCTCTTTCAGCAATTTACCAAATAGTAAGCAGAAACATTTTCTGCATTTAATTTCTACTTAATATAAGAGAAACTTCATGTAAACTAAAAGATGTATATGTTTTAAAGGGAAAATAAACTTTCACCTTGAAATGTTCACAGCTAGGACTGAAACCCAGGCAGTTGGGCTTGAAAGTCCCATTTTATACCAGTGTGTGGCCAGTCTCCTAGTCGCTCCACTATCTAATTCATGGGCAAGGTCATCCCCATCCATCCTCCAGGTTTGGGGGCTGGGGAAATAGCTCAGTTGGTAGAGTGTTTGCCTCATATGTACTAGGCCCTGGATTCAATCCTCAGCACCACAAAAATAAATGAGAGAGAGACAGAGAGAGGTTGGCAGGCAACACTGCTCATGTTTGGTTTTATATGTGGGCTCAGCTGTGAAGTGTATGTGCTTCATTCACCAGGACCATCCTCCAGGCTTTCTATAGGGGACACAGTTCTCTTACACAGTTCTCTCCTGGGAGGATTCTGTCTCCTGTCCCTGCCCTCAGGGCCTGTATCTGAGGATAAAATGTCATGGGCTCCCTAAACTCCACTGTCCTGGCTTGCATTTTTCAATTTATTTCTAGAACCTATAGAAATACTTCTCAACCTTGGCTAATACATTTTAATTTTTACTACATTTCTATGTGCTGTCACAGAAATTGAGCTCTTCCTCATTAGTTCAATCTATCATAGAAACTCAATTCTTTATGCATTAAAATATACAAAGTCATCTGACAGTAACTCACACTTCCATATGTTTCCTGGCCTCTCCAACCTCTCCTCTAAGATTAGGAGGGTTTTTTTTTTTAATTTCTGTATGAGGATAAAAATAAAATATCTTGCTTCCTGACCAAGTTGGGAAAAAATTCTTAATGGACACATGCTATTGAGGAGACTCAAAAGTGATCCATCATTGTCTTTTACCAATAGAATGGCATTAATTGCTCTTATTATCACTGTAAGAGAACAATTAAAAATTCTGATTTTTTTAAGAAAAAAAGAATGAAATTTTATAAATATTCTTATATTTTTTTTTCAAAATTCATTTATTGATGATTTTGATACTCTTTAAGTGGCAGCAAGGATGGGGTTAGGTGACTTGTCCCAGGTCAGTAAGCAAATGATGATGTTAGGAGGGGAGTCTAGCCACAGAGCATATTCCTATTACTCATATACAGTGTCATCACTCACCAGCTGAAGTGTCTGCAACAACATTGCCAGTTTTACACGAAGATTCTTCAGTTTATCCTCAGTAGTTTTTCTTTTTTGTTCACAGTGTCCCAGAGATATTTCATTAAGAATTCCTCTTCTATTTGCATCATGGATGATGCACTGCATTTTTCTTTTTATTTTCTTTTCATATTGGACCATGTAAACATTCTGGATCTGGGAACGTTTTTTAAACAGTCTTAGTATGTTTTTAAAATATTACCATTCCCCCTAATAAATGAGGTGATTTCATATTCCAACTGCACACATGTACCAAGCATCAACCCTGCATCTAAGTTTGACAGGTGGTCCAAACTGAGGACACCTTTAAGGAACTAACTCTCTGATGGGAAAGGGAGAGACAGGAGGTAATATGTACCATATTCCTATAATTATAAGAACTGGAGAGGCACACCAAGGTAGACTCAGAGACCCTTGCTTTGGAATGAAGAACTCCATGAATGTGAATTTCTTCTCCCATTAGCAATGTAAAATCATTCAATGCACAAAGGGGGAAGGTTCCTGTGGCCTACTCTCCACAGCACCAGCAGCTCATGGACAATGACAGATGGCCAATGCTTGGGCCACCTTAAAGATGATATGTTATTTGTGACTCAAGTGTAGTAACTGTAAAGCACAGAAGCTACAGAATGAGGAATTTTGTTTCCTCACTCTGTGTACGTTCTTTATCCTACTGTGAAGAGTGTGGACTGTTAACCATTGACCTCTTGCTAATTCAGGGGTCATGGCTGTTTTCCAAGATGGCATGTTGTGCTTGGGGATCTCATGAAGCAGGATAGGCAACAGAGAGGAAAGATGCTTCAATTTTAGAATGGCATTAATTGCTCTGATTATCATTATAAGAGAACAGGGGATATTCTGAGAAAAGAGATACAGGGAAAAATCCCATTTTGACAAACATTTTAATGTTTCCTATAATAAGAAGATTTCTGAATTCTAACATGACTGGGTTGCAAGGAGAATTGTAAAGCAGCCACGTTCATCTCTTGGGCCTGCCCTGCCCGCTCACCACCATACATCACCTTCATGAACACAAGTAGACCCTTCTCAGGCACTGCCCACACCATCACTATTACACACTCTGCTCTCACTAGTTTCTCTTCTTTCTATGAAATTATTTAAACAAAAAAATCTTGTATTATCTATAATTCTAATAAACATCAGTACTTTGTAAATTTGAGGCATTAATTACAGGTGATAGAAAAATACAATACGTAAGGTAGTCTTTGTGCCCAAGAACTTTCTAGTTGACAGCATGAGCTAATTCAAGTATGCAAACTTTATATCTTATGGGAGAAAGGGTACTATGTCCCCAGGTAAGGCTTGGGTATTGTTAGAGTTGATAGAAGGGTGAGGAGTCTCCATTCAATTAAAGAGCATGGAAATCCTGACTTGGAGTACTTGACTTGGGGTTATGTGAGCAACTCACCTCGATATGTACACACTTCACCCACCGTTAGTAGAGAGGAGTATGTGGGAGCAGGGACCAAACAACACTCCATTTTGGCATCAAGCATGGGCCGCGTGTGTGGATAATAATATGTTAAAGACAAAACTAATTCTCAGGTTTGCAGATGGCTATGTAAAGAAATCTTAGATTTTCAGTGGCTTAAACTTCCTGAAAGCTGGTGTTGGGCACCAAGAATTAGACTCTGAAATCCCTGGTCTGTGTCCACCTGTTCTCGCCTTGTTTCCTGAGTTCCAGGACTCATTCTTCTAAGCATTCACCAACCTCATTCCTGCCTCTTGCTCCTGCTGCTTTCTCAGTCCAGTAAATTCAACTCATATTAGCACAAAGCTCCTTCTCTGCTTCAGGTCTGAGATGCCCCTTGCCCACTGTTTCTGAAAATCACCTCCTTCTTCCCAAACACACCATCACTGTCAACTCCCTGGCCCTGCACAATTATTTTATGGCAAATTACATCATGATTACGTATTTATGGGTTTATCATCTGTCAATATGTGCCTCTGAATTCCTTTTCCTTTGTGGGTTTGTTATCTGTCCCTCCCTCTTTACATATAACCTCCATGTAAAAAGGATTTATTTTTATTCCTCTCCACATTTCCAAGGTCTGGAACATAGCACTAAATAGCAGGGAGTCAAGAGAGCAGATATGCAGCAATCACAGCAAGAGAATTTCAAACACATGGAGCCAGCCTGCTTTTCCAGGCTGCAAACATCTTGGAGAGGAATCTGCTTGTTTGTTTTGTTTTGCTTTGATTAATGTATATATTGAGCAATGATCAAAGCACGGTAATTAACATATCATATCCATCACCTTAAACTTTCATCATTTCTCTATGATGAGTATATTCAAAATCCTCTCTTGTAACTTTATGATGACTTATGTTTCAAATTGTCTCTTGTAATATACATATATAATTTATATGTACATATATAATACATTGTTGTTAGCTATAGGGAATCCACTTTTGAACATCTTTAATTCATCCTATACAAAGTTGATAACTTAAAACTAAGGCAACAACTACCTCTAGGAGGCTTCTCAGAAGCTTCTCAGAGGTTTCAGGAAAACCTAAGGGTTGTCCTCTCCCCTGGCCTGAAGGTCAAGGACAGTAAATGATTCAACCCAGGAGGGCAGAGTCACAGAGCAGAATTAAGATTTGAAGGATATGTCAAGATCATTGTATTGTCATGAGAAACTAATTAAAAAAAAAAGATTTGAAGGAAAGAATATTCAACAAAGATTTAAATCTTCTGCCTTGAGTTCAGAAAGTCCAGCTCTAGCAACTTCGCAGTGCCACAATCTTAACAAGCTATGAAATAAAGAAGACCTGTGGGATCTACAGCTTTTGTACCACACAAAAGGGGGTATTCATGTAAGAATTTATACAGGAAGACACTACAGCAGAAATAATCAACTACGATTCAATACATAAATGTTAAAATCCAGATGCAAAGGTACCTACTGAATGCTGCTAGGATACATATTTGGATAAGATAGGATTACTAACTTCAAGGACTTTGTAATCCAGTTGAGGAGAAAATGACACAAGAAATTATTGTAATAGAAAGTAGACATTTTAATTAATGATAAAAATCAAGTTTTTTAGGTTCTCTCATAGTACAGAGAGGTCATAATTTATTTCAGACAGCAAGACAAGGCAATGATTTTATAAAAGATTATCATGACAAGTTCTAAATAGAGTGGGAGGTCTTCAAGGGACCCACTGTAGGCTGGGAGTATGGATAAGCTAGGGGACAGCATGTGGCAAGGCTCAGAGGTAGACAAGGTAATGGAGGTTGAAGTGATGTTGAGATATTCATTTTAGATGGAGCAAATGACTTTTGAGCAGAAATGAAAAAAAAAAAGATGGCAGTTCAGGTCGGATGGTGCAGGGCCGCTGTGGCAGGAACACCTACCACTCTAACAGCAGTTACAAAAACTACGGATGTAGTTGAGATGAGGTAACTTTCACCAAGTATTCTATGTGGATTTCTTTATTAAAGGTACACACCCTAAAGCAAATGGCATAGATTAGTCCTTCACGTGGATTTCAAGAAAAAATTCGTATAGTTCTTATAACCATTTGCCTAAAGCCACTGGTTATTTAGAAAGTCCTTAAGACCACACAGTTTCATTGTTAGGAAAGCTATGATTTTAGTTGTTCCCTATCTCAGTTGCAACAGGAAATCCTGCCTTCTTGACTGTTGAGCTTACTTTGATCCTTTGAATCTCACTTGTCCTGAATATCAAGAAGATTCTAGTCATCCTATATGCTAACACTGTTGACCCTAACACTTATATTATTCACTCTGACCTCCAAGACCCAACAACCTGGCTCCTTTACTGACAGTGTAGACACTGGGAAAAATATCACTTGTAAATACATATGAAAAGGAAAACATAATTGGATAAACTTAATGATGACTGTCTAATTCTTAACCGATTTCTAAGTTTTATAGCGTAAGTATATAAACCGGGGTTCCTAATCATTAGATGAAAACCTATGGGACAACACCACTCTCCATAGCCAGACGTTCATTTGGGATAATCAATTCCTGCTGGGAACTAAGCCAACCTGCTACCACACACACACACACTATACCTAAAGATTCCACTTTGAGCATCTTTACTACATACATCTCATGTTATAATTTCAAGGTCTCAAATAATTTGAAGACAATTCTTCAATATCAACCTGCTGAGGAGCTATAATAGAACTATTGCAAGTAATAGGTGCAAACTGTTTCACAAAGATCAAGCACTGAAGTCTGGATAAGAATAAGATGGGGGAAAAGTAGTATAATGGAAAGAACTTAAAAGCAGGACAAATTTGAATTGAAATCCCAAATCTAATACTTATTTGCACCATGACATTGGGATATTATCTTTCTGAATTTCTATTTCTTCATTGCTAAAATGGAGATAGTGGCACTTGCCTCCCAAAGCTGTAAGGGTGACATTAGGTAACATACAGAAATGGACTTTAGCATCTGGCTCAATCAATCACAATTCCATATTAGCTGATTAAAATAACATTAGTGCTAAAATAGGGGCAAAAACAAACTGAAAGTAAACTTTGTCTTTTTTTCTACATAAGAAACATTGACAAGATAGCTTCAAACTGAAATGTTTAATTCCTGTTTTTTTTTTTTAAAAAAACATTATTCAGAAAACAAATTTACTTTGCAGTTAAACAGTAATGAGAAACTAAGTACAATCTCCTTTCATTCCTAGTTGCTTAGCATAGTCAACCAGACACTCAGTCTGAAACATTAGAGGCAAACATACCAACAAAGGTTGTTAAATTTGGAAAAGCTAAAAAATTGAATATATTATGATGATAGTGCCTTTATAAAAAGTAATTTGGTTTAGGTTCTAATTTTCATTTCAAGTCTTCCTAGTCATATGTCTTCTGAGAATTCACAATTCTTTTTCACTTACAAAGTATGAATATTCAAGTATACATCATTCTCTATAAAAGAGATGAGGCTTCAATGTTTATAGCAGCCCAATTCACAATAGCGAAACTATGGAACCAACCTAGGTGTTCTTCAACAGATGAATGAATAAAGAAATTGTGGTATATATATACAATTGAATATTACTCAGCCTTAAAAACGAATGAAATTATGGCATTTGCCAGTAAATGGATGGAGCTGGAGAATATCATGCTAAGTGAAATAAGCCAATCCCAAAGAACCAAAGGTTGAATGTTTTCTCTGAAATGTAGATGCTAATTCACAATAAGGGTGGGGCTAGGGAAGAATAGAGGTAGTTTGTATTAGACAGAGGGGAGTGAAGGGAGGAGAGGCAGTATGGGGGCAGGAATGACAGTAGAATGAATCAGATATTATTACCCTTTGTGCATACATTATATTACATGACCTGTGCAACTCTATATCATGTACAACCAGAAGAATGAGAAGTTATACTCCATCTCTGTATGATGAGTCAAAATGCATTCTAGTGTCATGTATAACTAGAATTTAAGAGAGAGGAGAGAGAGAGAGAGAGAGAGAGAGAGAGAGAGAGGAGGCTCTCTTCTTACAGCTGTGCTTTGAAGAGCTCCAGGGGAGCCATTCACCTCCTAGTCTTTATACATGTGCATACTCTTATGGTAGTTTCCAGAAGAAGGCTATAGGCACCAGCACATGGAAGACGATGCTAATGTATGTGCTGGTGATGGAGCTGGTGTGGGTCTGAGAAAACACAGGTAAAGTGTGAATGATGACCTGACATCTCAGTATTGATCTTGTGCCATGAAAAATTCTAGGCTCTTATGACACCGGGGAGATGTCTGAATGACAACTGGTCATCCCAGCTCCAGCATGAATTCCCCCTCTTAGCTTGGCTGAGTTCACATCTTGGAGTCCCTGTTCCCTAAAGTGTGAAATAAGGGAATTGAGGGCAATTTCTATCACAAAACTGATGGACATTGTGCACTCTATTATGCCCCAGGAAATCTTTAAAAACTAGATACTGTTAAAAAAAATCTATATATAGAGAGAAAGAAAGGTTGTAATAAAGTACCAAAAACTATTAGCATCAATCAGTAAACTTGGATGATATGGGACAATGGATAAATTTCTTTAAATTCTTTCTTTAGATTATTAATAATTACTTTTAAAATGGAAAAATCATACTCTTAGTAACTACTGATAAGATACTAAGGGAAAAAACTCAAAGAGATGTTATCCATTCATTTGTTGATGGGTACCTGAGCTGGATCCTAGTTTGGCTATTATGAATTGTGCTGCTATAAACGTTGATATAACTGTATCACAATAGTATGCTGATTTTAGTTCTTTAGGATAAATACTAAGGAGTGGAATAGGTGGGTCATATGGTGGTTCCATTCCTAGTTTTCTGAGGAATTTCCATACTGCATTCCAGAAATGTGTCCTAATTTTCAGTTCCATCAACAATGTATGAGTGTATATTTTCCCCCTCATCCTCACCAGCATTTATTATTATTTGTATTCTTGATGATTGCCATTCCAACTGGAATAAGATGAAATTTCAATGTAGTTTTGATTTGCATTCCCCTGACTGCTAGGGATACTAAACATCATTTTTATCATGTATTTGTTGTCCATTTGTATTTCTTTTTTTTAGAAGTGTCTGTTTGATTCTTTTGCCCATTTATTGATGGCAAATATTTCTTAAAGGCTGAGAATTTCCTGTTTCCTGTCAAAACAGTTCTACTCCAAGTGCATTTGCATTTTAAAATTCAAAAGATGTTGCTTTATGACATATGATGTACTACACATTAATCTCAGTCTTGATAAGTAAATGCAAATTTGATTTCCTTCCAAACTAACATTTGGAAATTTATATTATTTCTCCTTTGGAACATGGGTCATTTAGAATATAAATGACTACACTGAAGACAGACTTACTTGGTTGAAACATATTTTCAGCTTTTTGTTCGTCTGCTCTGGGCATTGCTCCAGCTGTTTTCATAAGTGATAAGAGAACAAGATATTAACTTTGGAGAATGCAGTGCCTCCAACAGAGTTATATCATGCAAGTATCTAGTATAAACAAACCTAGAACCAGCCAACAGTGGTACTACTGGTCTTTTAAGCTTGGATCCCAATAAATTAATTAACTAAAGTATACCTCATTTCATTCCAAACAAAACTAAAAAATGGTTAAAGCAGTTTACATAAATAAATACAGCATGGTTAAAAAATGTGTGATAAAAAAATAAGCTTGAAAGAAAATTAAGTGATAAAATTGTAAATATTGAAAAAAGAGCTGTCTAAAGGCAACTGGAGTCTGGATTTCTTGAAAGAGAAAGTTAGAAAATAGCCTGGGAGTCGCTGGTTAGTGTAAGAATCATCCAGAAATGGCATTTAATAGAAGAAAGCAGTTCAGGAACACACCCTCAGACATGATGACATTCAGAATCCAAGCAGAAAAGGAATCACCAAAAAGAGGGAGGTAGTCGAAGAAAGTGAGAAGTGTGTAGTGGGGGGAAGCCATGCAGAGAGAGTGCTCCAGGAAGGGGAAAGGGGATGGTTGGGTCGAGAGCCTGGGGAAGTCAGGACAGAGAAGTGACTAAGCATTTGTCAGCTAAGAGCTCTTGGGGGCACTGGCGAGGAAGGTCCCAGTTTGGTAATGGAGCTGGACGTTCCATGGAGAGTACAGGGTAAAAGGAGAAGGTAAAAAAGTAGACTGTACAATGGAAATCAAGGAATTTCACCCAGGTTTAGTTGGGGCATGTGGCACTTTTGTCTAATTAATAATTTGTGCTCTTTTCACTGAGAGCCTTTCCTTCCATATCCGTCAATCCCACAAGAGATGCTGAGCATGGTGTGGAGAAGGGGCCTCCTGTGCTCCTGTGCTGCGCTGGCTGTCTCCTCCACCCTGGAGCTGCCCAGCTGGCCTGCACTCCTCAGTAGCCCCTCAGCCCTACTGGGCGGGAGGAATGTGTAGTACTGCTAGATGTTACTGATGGGGACATGACAACTAGGCTCACCCTTTGCACCTCAGGTGGTTGACCAAAGTTCCTTCCACTCATACACAAGGAGGCTTGGAAAATACAATCATCTTCATCACCTCTTGTGATGTTTTATTGATTCTAATCAGACTAGTGCTCTTGCCACCTGATATGGTGACCTACCCAAACCTCAGCTCAGCCCCTCCTAACCAGCCACCGAGGAATTGCATCTATGGAATAGAAACCATTTTGGGTCAGGGAGAGGGGAGTCAGTCACCATGTCCCATTTCTTTTGATCCCTGTGACTGTTCTCCATCTGTAAGATCTTCTCCACCTGGCTCTTCCCATGTGATTTCATAGACACTGTTGATTCTGATACAAAGTCAGTATAAAGATCCTATCTTCACTCCCTTAAGCCATTCTAGGTTCTCTCACTGGTACCATTTTACATTTTTCTTCACTGAGGACTAAATTCAAGCTATTTTGTCATCCTTCAGAGTTCTAAAAAGACCGCTTACCTCAGAACTTGCTCTGAGTTCTTCTGCAGATGTGCAGTCAAATACTGATGGTAGCTGATACTCAGGAAAAAAATACAGAAGGACCTCCCTAGGAATGCAAGCAGAGCAGAAATAGGAATATACCAAGACAAGAGGTGCAGCATTCACCTGTCAGAATTGGTTTTGTCCCCTGGGTATTAAATATCTGGCAAAGATCAACATTAACTCCTCCCAAATATTTTGTTACCATTGGCATTAAAGTGCTCTTCAAGAAGCACAGACTGGGGGAAAGGACATGAATGTAGCTATAAAAGGGCAATAGAAGGGACCCTTGCAGTGATGGAAATGTTCTGTGTCTTCACTGTGTCAACATCGACATTCTGATTAGTTTTGCAAGAGGTTGCAACTGGGAGAAACTGAGTGAAGGGTACAGTCTGATTTCTGCATTATTTCTTAAAACAACAGGCAAATTTACATTCTTTGAAAAATTTTTAAAAATATTGAAGGAAAGGCAAAGAAAGAAAAAGAAAAGAAAATGGGAACAGGAAGAGAAAAAAATAGCTCACAAAGCCTAGCAATTTGTCACCAACCAGTCCAAGAAAGCCGGGTACCTGCCTGAGTGTTCTTTTCTGCAGAGAACTCAGCATTGCAAACTTCCTGGAGGAAAATAAGCAGCTCCTCAATTATTGACTTTTTCTCCAAGGAAGTCAAAGAGCTTAATTCTGCAGAGCAATTATCTTCATTAGGGTATCTGGGACTACTCTTAGAAATCATATCTAGTCTGCTCTTTCAAAACAGTGGTGGCCATTGCTCCGACAGGTGCTTTACTTTACCAAAAGGCAGTGGCACCCACCCTACTAATGTGACAGCTTTTCTGTGATTAATCACTTAGATGACACATATTTCATTTCTGGGAGAATATTAAATATAGAAATTCATAAACATCACACCTTAAAAGTGTATAGTGTTTTGATGTTGATGAGCTCCAAGATGCTCATGCATATTATCTAAAGGATTGACAAAATCTTTTCCGTTGTAAAATAATATGGTACACCAGAGATAAAACAGTTCTTTCTTATAATGAATTCCTAGTATTTTATCTGCATTTATAGTTTCAAGGAGATTTAAGCCAGAAAGTTTCAGCATTGCCCAAATATTAAATGTAATACACACAGCCCCCAGACTGACTTGCCTGGCTAGAAGAAGATGGATGGGGTGGGGATGGGATGAAAATGAGCTTCCAGGGATCTGAGATGAGAATAAATCAGATGGCACAGAAAGAAAGCTGCAACTGGAGTCCCTGGGAAAGGGAACCTGTTGGCCTTGTGACTGGTTTGGTGGGACAGGAGTGGTGAGAAGTCTTCCATACGAAACATTCCCACTTCCATTCAGATCTGCCATGCTTCCCCACCACAGGGTTGAAACCACTTCTAAATGTGGGCCCTTTCCATGGTAAGCATACATTTTTTGCTATTTAAATTTAGAGCAAATTCAACAGTCATCTAAGAAATACTCTTAGATAAACAAATATATGGTGCTGGTATTTGGGGGGGAGTGGGAGGGGGTGAAGGGGTAGGTTGGGGAGAGAAAACCCTCTGGTTTCATTTTGGATAATTCTCATCTGTGTTGTCTCTACTTCAAAATGTCCCCTAAACATCATCTATAGCCTGAAGAATGTGTCTCACACATGTACTATTATTTCCACAAATCAATAGATGATAGACAGATGCAATTTAACAATTGAACACTACTTCATGAGAAGGTTTTACTGAAATCACTGCAGCTTTTGTGATTTCGTATTTTCTCAAACTCATTAATTTCACGGATAATTTGTCTTCAAACTACTAAAACAGCATTTGCTCTGTGGAGCCTCACAGAGCCCGCATCATGCCCTCCATGTTGGGATCCCAATACTATTTTCTGCACTGATTCAACATAATGTGGAATGCCAAGAAGTGGGCCACTCCACAACCATGTGGGCAGCGCTCCAGGAGGATGAGCATGTAGCACTACAGCCCCGAGGAGAGGCCCCGACTCCTACTGGGAGCCCTAACTCATGTATTTGGGAGCCCTGGCTTATATTTGAAAGCCTTCATTCATATTTGGGAGCCCCAAAGAAAGAGTTGGAGTTAGACAAACATGGGGATGGGGATGTGAAGAAGTATTCTTCATTTGCACCCAACATTGGGAAATTGGGTATGTTCTTTTTGGTAAAAGATCTGAGACACTTGGGTCAGATCTAACTACCTTTACAGAGTTCCAGAAATGTGCCAACCATTGCTGTCTTGTGTTCATAATTTCATGTCATCTTTATGAAAACACTTTGAGGAGAGATTCCTATTTGGAAGCTCTCTTGTTTTCTGGCTGTGAAGGACACACTCCTTCAGGCCAACGCAGATTCCCTATACCATTCTCATTCTCTCTCTCTCTCTCTCTCTCTCTCTCTCTCTCTCTCTCTCTCTCTCTCTCTCTCTCTCCTTCTCTCTCCCTCTCAGGATTTCATCTTTACTTTCTTCTAAATAAAGTTGCTGCTAAGTAGCTTCTCCCTTGGGGATTTTGTCCCATAAGACTGACTAAAGAGAAAGATAACCCAGCCAGTGACTTGCAGTCTCTAAGCACAAACATATAGGCCCTCTCCTTTTCCTGCCAAATTAATTCAGGAAAAATATTAGTATTAATAATAAGTGTAAAGATATAAAAAATCACACATAGAAGATACTAAAATATTACCAAACATCTCATTGTAGATGTTGAACGGTTCTTTAAAAACTCCTTCAGTTACTGGCTTGAGTCTTCTGTGGAATCCGCCAGAGATGTTCTCTTTTGTTCTGAAGAGTACATCTTATCAAACCTCTTCTGCCCTCAAATTTCAGCCTTTCTTTAGGACACATGATCCTATCATATATATAAGGGCCCTTCAAGGAGATGGGCCAGGAGACATGCAGTGTAAAATTATAGGAATAAAACAACTGTCCATTCATTCCTTTGCTGAATTAAGAAGATACTGTCCATTTCAAGGGACTCCTGAATCAAATACTGCTGTTCAACAGGACTCTTATCCTGCCTAGGAACAGTCCTTCCCCTGAAGCACTGACTCACAGTTTTACACCCAGACTTAACAATAATACCAGGAATTTATCTTTAACATTTTTTCTCTCCTTAAGAACTCAAGAATTAAATCTTCCAAAGATCTCTTCCAGAGCTACTACCTGCTTCCAGGACTTGGCGATGGTGCCCATCTCAGTTGGATTTCTGTAGAATCTCTATCTAGAAGCTTTCACAGGATTCAATGAGGGAGCCGACACTCAGAGCTATCTCTAAATATGATGGACAAGCTTTGAATGTTCCTGCTAAAGGTCATTTCCCTTTCATTCCATAATCATACTACTGTCTCAACCAAATGAGTGTTTTCTTAGTGAAAACGGCAAGAAGAATCTCTGACTTAATTAACAGAATTCCCCTTCTAGACACAGCAGATGTGGGCAGGGCCACGTAGAGGTACCTGAATCCACCGAATCTTTTAAAACATTAATCTGGTTAATCAGCTTAGTGCTGGCTAAGAAGAGCAAGTCTCCTACTTGAGGTTGATTAAAACTCTCTTTGTCAACCCAGTGAAAGACCAGGATGCAATGGAAATTACAGGATTCCACTTTCTAAAACCAGGAATCCAGCCATGGTTTCTAACAGACCTGTCTGCTAGTTGTATTTTTGTGGTCTTTTCTTTTACTTTAGCAACAGGCAGCAACCTTAAAAAGTGGCTTTCTTTTTAAATTGAATTTTTGTTATTTTTAAAATTAAAGATAACACAGAGCAGGTTTTTATAGAGTTAAAATAAATCAAGAATATATTTTCAAGTTCATAAATACAATAATAAGCCAAACAAGGTATTAGAATTTAGCAATTAAAGCAAGGACTGTTGGGCCAGACAGACAGATTCAAATCCCAGGTGTGCTACTTTAGTGTTATGCAAATTATTTAACCTGTACATGTCTCAGTTTTCTCATCCATTAATTAGAATAATAAAAGTACCTAGTTATAGATCATCGTAAAGTTTAAGAGAGTTAACACATGCAAAGCCCTTCAGATAGTGTCTGGTACATACCAAGTATGTACAAATCTATATTAATACTATTACTATTATTACTGTTCAAAGTGATTTGAAATTTGATACTACTCCAATGTTTAGGACCTGCCTAGAAAATTTAATAGTCTGTATCCCAGTTCAGCTTATTTCCCTCTAACTTAACAAGACTTAGTCCCACCCCATTATATGAAAATATTTTAACATCCAGCAACACTATCCACTTTTGATATTTTCCTTTCTATTTAGTTTATTCTTTGAATACATGCAAATAAATGTTAGACATAATATGAAAAAGTCAATCTATTTTCAAAGAATTTATTCTATTTGGGAATTAAAGTGATACATATAGAACAAAAATAACATAAGAAAAACTTTTAAACTGAGCATAATCGGGTAATGAAAAAGACAATAAAGCTACCTTCTAAATGAATTTATTCAGCTAGCATCATGAAATGGAGGAGGGTGAGACCTACTGGGGCTATGTGGGAAGAGAGGCTGGCAGCAGGTCTGGGAGAGTCAGGACTCTTCACAAAGGAAGGTCAGGCATTGCTCTCTGCCATGTGACAATCAAGGTGAAGATGGTAAGCAATTCTGGGTAGGGACAACACTGTCCCCTTCATATCACACACTACCAGCCACAATTTTTTCCTCTTGAGGTAAAGTCTAGTTGACTCAAGATATAACATGTGGACCACATACAAAATAGAGGAGTGCAAAAAATAAAACAAGCACTTAGCAAAGAAAACAAGAACTCTGTTTTCTTTGTAAATGCTCCTAAAGGAAGAAAACAGGTAAAATGAGGAACGTGTTCTACTCCAGTGAGGACTTGTGTTCTGCACACCTTTACTTTCCCCACTGAATGGTTTGAATAAATCAATCACCAGAGAAAATTTAAGTTGGCACAGAATAGAGCTGACATACTAATACATTTGGCTTTCAGAATGTTGGGGTGATGGTGGTGGTGGGGTGATGGTAGTGTGACAATTCTAAGCAATAAGGAGGTGCCTGCGTTTTCATTAGGCAGGAGGTTCAGAGAGGGACAGGGGTGGGTAATTTTAATGTTCTATTGATGCTTAATCTTTAAAGTCTTAGTACATTGAATGAAATTACCTCCTTTTTGATCACATGCAATCATTAAAATAAATAGGAATGTATATGAAGAACAAAAATTAGCTAAAGTGAAAATAAGGAAAATAATGAATTTGGAAAAGAAAGTTTATCCAACTGGAAATAAAAGTGAAGTGTTTCCAAGTTGCTGCCAACATGCTCGGGTCTCTCCAGTCCCCTAGTATGGAGAGCAAGGAAAGACATACACCTGTTTGCCTAGGATTAAGAGTGTGGGCATTCAAATCAAGGACTCTGGGCTTACACCCAGCCCCATTCTTAGTAGCTTTGTAAATGTTGGTATGACTTCCAATGTGTTATTTAGCTTTTCTAAGCTTCAATTTCCTCATCCATTTAAAAAAAGAAAAAAATATGATATCAATCTTGTAAATTTATCAAACTAAGGAATTAATTAATTAATACTTAAATGAATGCCTAAAATAAAGGTTCAAAATGGTAGTGATTAATATCATCAAGAAAGACTCAATGTAAGAGGCAATGATGATTTGGAGACTTTTCACACTTAATCAATTTATATTTGGGTAACAGTAGGGTTTACAACATGTGCTTGTGTGTGTGTGCATTCACTCTTGTTCTCTCTCTCTCTCTCTCTCTCTCTTTCACACACACACACATACACACACACACACACACAATTTATTGCATACTACCACACTTTAGTGACCAATGGATTTGCCCAAATCTAAGAAATAGTTAATAATCAACAGTATTTAAATTTAAGGCTACCCAACTTAAAACTTAGGTTCTTATATACTAATTTTGGAAAAAATCCTGACACAGGGTAAGAAGCTAGTTGGAGATTTCGACTCTTCAAGGATTCTGCGGAGGCACATAGCAGTACAATACTGATATAATTTCAGATCATTGGACAAGTGGCCTTTACAACCTCATGACACCTGTCCAATGCTAAGGTCTATCCTCCTCCTGTCTCACTTCCAGGATTGTGTAAGTTGGGTAGCCCAGGCAATCTAGGTGGTCAGAACCTAGTGATGAGGACACTGGCTTAACTGCTCAGTTAACACCTTGTCTTGTTACCTGTAACCAGAGTGCTTTCTATCTCCTGGGGCAGGACGGGTATTAGGCATGGATGCTAGGGTGTAGCAGGTAAATACATACCATTTAAATTGAGCCTTGTAGCCCTGCATACTGCCACAGAGACTTCCATAAAGCCCTGGGCAGCTGCAGAAGTGAGTTTGTGCCCACTGTGCTCAGTGCTCTACTTTCACAAATATGACCAAAGCCAGAGCACTAGGAGAGGCTGTAGCACTTCCAGACAGGCCTTTCCTCCACCTTTTCTTCCTTCCTCTCCCCTTAAGGAGGATTCTGTCAGTCACTGATGAGAAAATCACTACTTGAGCTAGAGCATGCTGCATGCTCTCCTTGGTCCAGAGCCTCTCCCCACAGAGGCCCCTCCCAGACTAAACCCTAGGAAACCAGGAGGTGTGCTAATTCAGTGCTACTCCTGCTCCCCCACTCCTTCCACTACATGACACCTATTTAGAGCCCTCTTGTACACAGATGTCTGGTGCTTGGTCATAAAGCCCCCTTCCATCATCAGTCCCTATTTGGAGAGCCCCTGAATCCTGGGTTTTACTCTTCCATGTCTCCATCCTTTGAGAACAGAGCTCCAAATACCTAACCTCTTCACTAACCATGACTACACGTGCCAACATGCTGCACCGAACAACAAGGTAAAGCTCAGTTTCTCTCAGTAAGTTAATACAAAAGTAGATATTTTAAAAGGCCTAAAAGTATCCTGAGAGGTTTTGTGTGGGAGAAAAAAAAAAGTAATAAGCAATTTCAGTACAAATTCTTTATTGCATTCAAATGAGGACCAATGTCCACCATACTGCGGGGCCATATGACGGTAGGCAGTTAGTGACTGTAGTTCTATTTCAACCTGTGGTATATCTAATTCAGTATGGTTAGAAGACAGGTCACAAAATCACTCCATGGAATTTACTCCATTATATGACCACTCAGGAAAAATAAAACACAGTTGTCACTGTTTTGAAAGTTCAACAAAGCATGTGGGAAAACAAAGTAACTGAATTTACCTTAAATTAGACATCAGTTTTCTTGCCGTTTCCTTGACAATTGTGCTTTGAGAAGATGTCACCAGTGAAGATGCAACTTTACAACCATCACTCACAGAAACTTTGGCTTCGTGTCCAGAAATTGGACTGAAATCTTCCATTGGCACAAAGGACGAGCTGGGGTGCATAATTCCAAAGTAGGAACCACATTAAATACTAATAGTTTCAGAAACAAATGGAATCTTAATACACAACAAATAAAATGGCATAAATTTCCACATATGTAGTCATTATATAAAATAAGTTCTTAATTAGACTTATCACCATTTATTCTTATTATATATTGTGTCAAGTTTTTGGGTAGCCACAACTAAACAGCATTGGTGATAATTTATTCTTAATGACACTAGTCATTTAACACTTGTTTCTTCTCTGCAGGAAAAGACTTAAGTTCTGTTTTAAACCCAGAGAAGGGCTGGGGATGTGGCTCAAGCGGTAGCGCGCTCGCCGGGCATGCGTGCGGCCCGGGTTCCATCCTCAGCACCACATACAAACAAAGATGTTGTGTCCGCCGAAAACTAAAATAAATAAATAAATATTTAAAAATTCTCTCTCCCTCTGTCTCTTTTAAAAAAAAATAAACCCAGAGAAATGCACTGACACAAAACCAAAAAGAATAAAGGCAGTTAAGAGAAATAACTAGCAAACATCCAGAGGAAGAGTGCTCCAGGTAAAGTGTAATGATCCTGGGGTAGAGAGCTGTTCAAGGAAGAACAAGAAGGTCGAAGCTGGTGGATGGAGGAAGCAGGAAGCAGAGGGAGAAGGCTGAGGTGAGAGAGAGTTGGTGGCCTTGGAGAGGGAACTGTGTTCCTTCCATGCAGAAGGCACTAGCATGGGAAGGTTTCAGGCATAGAGGCAGGATGATGAGATACAAGTTTTAAAAGGACCCCTGGATGTAAAATGGAAAATACATCACAGTGAGGAAGCACAAAATAGTGTAGCATGCTATGTACACCAAAGATTTGGAATGGTGGGAACAGAAAAATTCAAAAGGCCAAGGGTAGTAAAATATGCAAAGTGAAGATGGGTGGAGGTCAGATCTTGCAGAGCCTTATGTATCAAGTAATAAGAAGATTTCTGTAATCCTATCACACAGACACAGTTCCTGAGAGGTTTATGTGTTTATATGGAGATGGCCTTTTAGAATTGGACAATAGCTTATATCAAATGGAATGTACTTCTATTGTGAACAGTTCTTTGGCTTTAATTATACTGTCTAACTTCAGCTGACTTTTTTTTTTTTTAAGATTAAGAACACTGTATAAATGAATGCCTATTAAAGAATATTTACCCAATGTCTAAATGTTCATTAGTTATAACTTCTTTTATGCTAACATTTTAGTAAGAGAAATCTTCCTTTAAAAAAATATTTCAGGGATACTGGAAATTCATGTTGGTGTTGGGAACAGAAGGCAAAATATGCTACATCAGAGCATAGGGTATACCTCTCTCGACCTTTTTCTGTCAAAGAATTCTAGGACCTACCTTGCAGAGTTGTGTTGAGGATTAAATGGATATACAAAGACTTTATCTCAATACTTGGTAGTAAGTACTTGTCAAATAGAATCCAATAATTATTATGATTATCCTTGGCATCACTATCATTAGTAATACATTTCATAAATTTCTTCCATTAAGATTGTTTTAGTTGGGTTGGAGTTCTAACATTCATATTGTATTTGAGTCAACAATGATTTTAAAAAAAACCCTCCACAACTTAATAAATATCTAAAAGTCATAGAAAATAATACATGCACAATTATGTTTTAGTGTCTGCATGAATCTTAAATTATAGCTCAAATTTTAATAAATAATTCTAGATTAAAGCATTGTCCATGAAAAAGCCTAGCAACAGCACTGGAGGAGGGAATGCATTCATTCATTCAATCAACAGATACTGCTGATTATGAGTCTGGTGCCATTTTGGATACAAGATTGACTCTGTTCTGTTGGAGTGAGTTAGTGTCTAGTGGAAAACAAAGAAAACAAGCAAGCTAGAATTAAAGTGGTAAAATAAATGGATGAGTAAAACAGATAATTTAAAACAGTAATCAGTGCTTTGAAAAACCCAGCACAGAATGACTTCATAGTGGGAATGTGACTTGCCACCATGGGCAGGTTTCTTTTCTCAGGGAAGGCCTCTCAGATTCAGAGTTACAAAGAAGACAAGACATGTCTTTAAGGAGCATCTGACCACACAATTCCATTTGACTCACCCTTGTGGGTCAAAACTTAGCTAGTGTTTAACAAATAATTATTGAAATTGAAGGAATGATGATGCAACCTAATCAGTGCAGCAGTGACTCTGAACAACTGGGTTTTCCTGGGAGAGTCAGAAAAGAGTGCTTGAACAGAGGCTTGAATGAAAGGATAAGGGAGATGGGTACACAAGTTGCAGAGGACACACAAGCAAGGGAGGTAGTGTAGACAAACAGGTGATATAATGTGATAAAATAAACTATAAGTAATTTGGAACTTCTGGAAAGCAAGGTGTTGATTAGAAGGAGGGGCAGGAGTGGAGGTCTGTACTTGACCTTAAAAGTGATAGGGCGACAGAGGCTATGGAAGGTGTTCTGGTTTTGATGGGAGGTGTTGCCCAAAAGCTCACATGTGAGAGCAATGCAAGAAGGTTCATAGGAGAAATGATTGGGTTATAAGAGTCTTAACCCAATTAGTGATTTAATCCCCTGACAGGGATTAACTGAGTGGTAACTAAAGTGGTAGAGTGTGGCTGGAGGAGGTGGAAATTGCGGCATGTCTTTGGGTATATATGTGTATTTGGCCAGTGGACTGTCTTTGTTTTCTGATCAACATGTGATCTGCTTCCCTCTGCCACACTCTTCCATCATGAGGTTCTGCCTCACCTAAAGCCCTGAGGAATGGAGCCAGCCTTCTATGGAGTAAGACCTCTGAAACTGTGAGCCCTCAAATAAACTTTTTCTCCTTTAAAATTGTTATAGTTAGATCCTTTAGTCATAGCAGTGAAAAAGCTGACTATAACTGAAGGTTTCTGAATAGAACAGTAAAGTTGGATTTTAGTGTTGGAGTAACTACTCTGTTACCAAGTACAGGGAAATGAAAGGTCCTCTATCTTTTCTTGCCCTTAATTTAATGTGCTGTTATGTAAGGGGCACAGCATCTGAATTCAGAGAAACTGAGTCTGAACACCTGAAACCCCACTTAAATAAATCTGTAGTAGAAGTTAAGAATCTTCTTTTTTGAAAGCATTCTTTTAATTCTACCGGGTATCTAAAATATCCAGTTGATTTTATGAGTGATAAAATTCTCATGTCAAGGAAAGTCTAGAATGCAATTATAATAATGATTATAGGCATATCAGGCAGTAAGTCAATGACCCACACATGAAAAAAAAGTCAGTTTGTGGTTTCACAGTCATACCTCATATGTGTGTGACATTTTAGTGCTTTGACTACGTCATAGTAACCAGAATTGTTTACTTGCAGTGGGTAGAAAGCTAATCCTGCTCCATTTTATTATCCCCAAATTCTCACAAAAGAAATGAGAAGATTTGGGGAAAAGGTGGATTTTCATTCTTTCTTGTCTCTGCTGTAAAATTTGGTTCTATTCTTAATTGTCTTTGTTGCTACTATTTTCTTTCGTCTTGTATTGAAACATTGATAATTACTTTTCAACAGTATAATTGCACTTACTTGGAATTTGTATAATTGTAGTACACTCACCTTTCCTGGTTAGGAAATGAAGAGTTTCTTTTTATTGCTGGAGTATCACTGCACAGCTCCTGTTTTTCTTCATAAGAACAGAGACAAAATGAAGTCAATTTTGATAATCACACACACACACACACACACACACAAAATGTTGACTGTTACATTAACTATATGATTTAGTTCTGATTCAAATATCCACCTGTAAATTGTACCAATTTTGAGGCAATCTATAAATATGTTCTTTAGGTATTTTATAATAATTTTAATAAGGTATGTAATGCATATATAATAATATTGCATATATAATAATAATTCAAGAGCCTCTGTTATGTGGGTTGTTTATGTATATATTTTTATTGGTGTTTATTATGAGTGTATGGGTGACTGATCAGGACTGTTCATAGTCCCTGCGCTCCCTAACTTCTGCCAAAATATACACTTGTCTGCCCTCTACTATCTTATTCTCTCTCTTTTTGAGTTCCATTTCAAAGCTATTCTGACAGATCCCCATGAAAAATGTGTCACCAATTGAGAGCTAAACTTGAAAGCAGAAAGAGACCTAGAGTCACATGTCAGTCTTTTCACTCAAGGGACCTCAGGCTGATGATCTGTTCCTAGTCCTTTGTAAGTAGAAATATAAGCTTCCCTTGGATTGGCTAAGAGTCTTGGAGACAGTGTAAGCAACGAGTCAATTTGTTCTCCTTCCATTCTTCTCTATAATTCTTTGTTGAAAAATACCCAGATATCTTGTTCTATTAAGTAGACCTCTGTCAATAAGTTTAGGAATATTGAAGGTCAAGGAGAACAGGACACAAAGAAGAAAAGTTTTACATGGTGGGAGAATGCTGAGGATCTGCCAAGTTCTTCAAGGAAAACATAAAAGAAAACAGGTGGCCAGAGGTTTTCCAAGCACAGGGTAAGCACCATTGGCTGTACTTTCTGACTTGCATACAAAGTAAAAAATTTTAACTCAACAGTCAATTAATCTATAATTACAATCATTTAAAAAATATTTTACAATTTGTTCCTGCCAAACCCAGGATGGATATTTAAAATTAAATATTAATTTCAGGATTAAAGTTATAGTAACAATTTTTCCATTACAATCTGGAAGTGCTTGAAGGCACAGTAATAGTTTGAAACATCTACAAAAGATCAGCTTTAGAATTAAGAGAGCCTTACAAAAGAAATCCTGATTGTGGAATTACAAATTATCCTAATTAAGATGAAAAAGAAAAATTGTGATTTCTTAGGGACATCAGTAAAGGGCTTGAAAACATAAAGTTGTGAATGAATAGCTGATTAGGTTACCTAAGCAACAGAATGTGCAGGAAGGAAGAGTTGACCACCAAAGTGAACACAAAATGATGGCATGGATTGGCACAAAAAAGGGCTGGAAGGATGAAGCCAGCTGAGCAGGGATTCACTAAAGAGACTAAGAAGTGATTTCAAGCTTATTTCAGAATAAAGACAAGAATGATGAAAATAATGTATGTGTTGCCCGGGCCCAATGAGATAACATTAAAATAAAAAGAGAATGGGATAATAATAATATAATGCCTAATACAAGAATTATAGTAATGACGACGAATGAACACTGAGAAATGAAAATATTCCAAATTCAATTTGTTTCAATTATTTTAAAATTGAAGAGATTAAATTTGACTTAAATATCATGAGAGCAAGTTTATGCTTTAAATATACATATACATATATATCCCACAGAAATGAAAGAACTCATAAATACATATGTTGAAATACTCTTATGGATTTCAGAGGAATCATGAAAGGCAGGAAAGGAATTAAACAATTAAAATAAGGAATTTCATTACAATTTTCAAAACAGATTCTCAAAATGATAGACCTGATAATCAATCCTTGGCAAAATTCTAAATAAAATTCAATGTAGAGAGTGGCACAAGTCTATGGGTATTTCAGGCAGTGTGGCAGTTTGGGAGACCCGGTTCTCAACCAGGAGGTGTCTCTGTCCAACCCAGACGAGTGAGATTAGCCCTTGATTCTTTCTCCACCCCTCCTTCTAGTTCTGGATGGAACAACAAATTTAATTTTCTAAAATACAAATTGCTGGCAAACTTCTGATTATATCTCAGGCTGTCACATAAGCCCTATGGAAAGTGGTTCAAATATTAGAGCTAATCTCTGTAAAATGATTTATTTTTACCTTCGTTTATGAGTGGAACTTCCTTTTGTTCTTGTTTCAATGAAACATCAGTGCTGCTTTTATCTAAAACCTGAAAGATAACCTCGTTATTTAAAATTGTACCAAAAACAAGGACATACGACAGGGTTGAGAAAATACCTTGAATAGCAGTGCCCATGTCAGAGAAAAGAGATCATACTGCTACCACAGTAAAGCTATTAAAGGTTTTAGAGGAGAGAACAGTACAGTGCTAGAAAACAATACTGTTGTGCCACAGGAAGACCACATTACCAACCTCATGTTTACTGTTACCATTTCTCTCTTTCTTTTCCTTTTTTTTTCTTTCTTTTTTTCTTGCTACCGGGGATTGAACTCAGGGAGCACTCGACCACTGAGCCACATCTCCAGCCCTATTTTGTTTTTTATTTAGAGATAGGGTCTCACTGAGTTGCTTAGCGCCTCACTGTTGCTTTGGCTGACTTTGAACTTGTGATCTTTCTGCCTCCGCATCCTGAGCTGCTGGGATACTATTACCATTTCTTTAATAGGATTTTCATGTTTCTACTGATACTTGCATAGCTAATTTATAAACTGTTATTTTATATGAATGTAACTATGTCTCCAACAAATAAATCAAGTATTTGATTTACCAGGAACAACCATCAAGCCTCTGTCATTCCAAGCCTCATCATAATCCCAGTTGCTCCAAAGGAGACATAGTGTGGGAACTCAACACCAATGCAAGGAAAACTTTGAAGAGGTGGGGACACCAAAGCATGATGGAGAGCTCACCTGGAATGTTGGGGAATGTGCTTTCTCTCATCTTCTGATAGAATTTCTGGGAAGCTACCTAAAAGTCTTAATGTGTTGCATGCAGCATCCAGAAGGGCTAGTGGCACCTGGAGTGAGGGGATGTGCATGTGTGATGTGGGGAGTCTGGGTGGAGAAAGGGTGAGGGTGGGTGGGGCACAGGTGGAACGTAGGGCGTGCCACTCATAAGTCACATCTGCATCACTTTGGGAATGCTGAAAGAAGCATTTTACAAGGCTCACATAAAACAAACATACAGTACTAAAGTTCTTCAGATGAGACAGAGAGACAGAGATGGGGAAAAGAGACAAATAGACAAATAGATAAAAAAGATAGAGAAAAATTTATATGACCTTCAGGGGAAAAGACCCAGAATGCTCCCTTTATGTATTTTATAAATATGTAAGAAGGTAGAAAAGCAGGCAGTTTTTAAAGAACAGAGAAAGAAAAAAACCACCTGTCTGCTCTTTGATCTAAGACTCCTGAATACACACTGAGACAAAACTGTGTCCCTCACCTCTGTTACCTGGTGTAAAGTGTGGAGTTGTCAGGTATTTTTTTTTTTGGAAGTTTATTCATTGAATATGTATCCTTTGCCTTTAAAGCCCCTCTAGCCTGCTAAACAAACATGGTATGGAGAAGATGTCAACCTACCTCCTCTTCCTGTCCCAGGAAACAATGACATATTTGTACATAGCACTCTGGAAACTTCTGTCAGGAAGATTAAATGGGCATACATGTAGCCTAGCAATGAAGTTACTATGTAGCTTTCCAACATTGCCATTTTCTATTTCACCCAAACAGAAAAAAAAAAAGCCTCCCAGGCAGTGGAAAATAAATAAAACTGCTCTTAAGCTACTGTTGTCCAATTCAAAATACGTTTATACTTACAATACAAATAAGTGCATGCTCCAGGAAATAATAAAAATGCATATTTTTAAAGGTTGATTTTGCAAAAATCTTGAAAGTGACTTTAAAATGTATGCCTTACTTATTTCTGATGTAACGTAAAATTTAAAGTTTTCTTCTAATGTGCTGAAATCTATGTGATATAAGTGTTTCCAAATTTGGACTAAATATTTTTTGATCAGTTTAAAGCAGTATATACTATTTTCCAAAACAGTTAATAGTAGTCTCACACACACACACACACACACACACACACACACACACAAAAGCTTATGAGATAACTTCTTAATGCTTTTAGTTATAATCATGTTGCTATAACCCACGATAATCTTATTCACAATGTGTTACTTTTCTTTAGTGACTTTTTCTTATGAACTTGATGAACTTGAACAAGATGCAAGTATCCAAGACTCTTTTTTAATTACTATTTTCACCAGAGAACAACTGTTGGTAGTGTTATTAACACAGCTTCATGAAATTAATTATTTTTACATTCTATTGTTGACTCCTCCCCTTTGAACTCTGCCTTGCTAGGGCTGTTTCCATTGAGGATGGTATCTGCCCTCAACCCAAAGATGGTACGAATACAAAGTTGACCATTTCTATTGAAGGAGAGATTTCTTTTGCCTTTCTGTCTGTTCTTTATTCTTTAGCTTGAAAACATAGAAATGTTTAAAACATATTTTTTGATAAATTCACTGCCTATAGTATCTTAATAACACTATAAATATCTGATTTCATAAGATGCTGCTTTTATTATGGTGTAGTTGTAGTGCTGAGGACCTGAATGCTTTCAAGGTGAGACAAGGCATGTGGCTATCTTTGAAATGCCTTCATTTATATGTTTTTATCTTATCTACAAAGCTCTTTCATGTACATGAATTCATTTTGTTAGAGAAGTGTTCTTCATTTGCTCAGGCTTAGCTGTGGTTCACACTCTGCAGTTTGGGAATATCTCTTTCGTAAGATTTTTACCTAAATCATGCAACAGATAACACTTCCCACACAGTAAATGAGATTACAGTTAAGTCTTAACATGAGATTGAAGACACTTTAGTTACAATTAATTTAACAACAAGCAGGGTGGGACTTGTCAGTTCCCCAAGGAACTCAAAGGATCAGGGTAATGCCACATTTTCCATTTTGTAAAATATCTATTTAAGAAGATAAATAAATCATGAAGAAGGCAAAACAATAACATACCTCAGAAAGCTGTGTAATACCTATCTCATTAACTGCTGTTAAAGGAAACTCAAGAACTGGATGTCACTTTATCTGTCTCTTTCCTTCTATTGCCTTGCCCTTCTCTCTCCACCTCAGTCCCTATTCAGGGACTCATCAAGACCACCAGACCAGGACATGTCTTCCCACCACATCCAACAATCCTTTCTGCTTTCACTCTTCCATGGTTAACATTATTTCCCAGACCCTTCCCCTTCACTCATTAATCTATTAATAAAATTCCCAGCATGGGTCAGACACTGTCATGGTGAAGAATTCAAAGTCCTGCCTTTGTGGAACTTATTTTTCTAATAAGGGAGAAAGTCATTAAACAAATAAAAAGATAAATATGCAATATAATATCAGGTTATGGAAACTCACTGAAGAAAAATAATACAGGTGAGAGAGAGAATAACAAAGGTTCCTGCCAGTGGCGCTGTTTTCACCCCATGCCCCACTCTCTCACCAAGCAGCCAGCCACACGCCTCTTCAGCTCTCAGGCTTTGTGTACTACAGACTTGTTGATCCCTCAGCTTTTGCTAGTCTTTCCTCTGACATCTCCTTGGTGCATCCTGTGCCAAAAACTGATCGCTGTGCCAAAATTGCCAAAAATTGCAACACTCACCATATGTGGCACCGATACCTCCTGTCCTCTTCTTTGTAACTGGACTGGCATTTACCATTATCTGTTATGCAAAATGCTTTACTTAATCATCTTGTCTCTTGTCTGATCCCCCCACTAGAATGGACACTGCCTGAATATAGGGAGCATTATCTGTTTTTCTTTCCCCTGCTGGATTCCCAATATCTAGATCAGTAACTGATAACACACAGAATAAAAAGTAAAAAAGCAAGTCATGAAGACATGGGTGGTATTGGTGGTATGGTGGGGATGGTGTGTGTAGTGGAGACCAGGTAGGAACAAAGAAAAAGACTTAGGTTCACATTGCTCTCCTTACCTGTGTTCATAGAATTTAAATTACTTAACATGATAGGACATTTTGGGCTTTGTATTTATTTGGTATCTCTTGGGGTGCTGGAAGCCAAGGTGTAGTCCCTTTGGCTCCAGGGGACTGGAGAAGGGATGAGCAGTGGAGATGAGGTCACCAAAGACATTGGGGTAAAGTCATCTGGCCAGTCTTCTAGGGCTTTGGGAGCTACAGCAAGGAAACCAAATTCTTTTCTAAGAATGAGAAGCCATTGGGGGATTGAGAGCAGGAGAATGGCATAATAAAACTTGTCCTTCAGATGGACTACTCAGCTTTTTAAGTTCGTGGAGGACAAAATAGATCACTTTTAGGCCTGCCATTGTGTCCCTGGAAAGAGATGTGGTGAGTTGGCCAGAGTGGTAGCTGCAGAGGCAGGAGGACAGGTTCCACGTGTGAAGGCTGATTCACGAGACAGGCTGTGGGTTGAGTGCAGGCTGAGAAAGGAGGAGAGAGATTCAGCATGATTCCCAAGGCTAGGGTCTGAGTTACTGAGTGGTGGTGCTATTTATTAAGTTAGGGAAGTGTGAATGTTGCTTGGATCCTTTGCTCTCTTGATTTCTGTAACCCTCTGTGTCTTAACTCTCCCTGGGTAACTTATTCTTTCCTGCCTACTCTCAATTCCTCAATGGACTTATTAAAATTTCAGGGGGCTAAGCTAGTGAACTTTATTGTGTAAACCATGGTTTTATCGGCATTAAACAACCCTAACTTTTCACCTTTGCTCCAGCTACATACAACTCATCTTCATGAACCTCACATTCAAACATCTTGCTGAAAGTTCAAATTTTCAGTCTTATTTTTATCCACTTAGTCGCAGTCCCTGATCACCTGTCCTCTTCTTATTTATAACACCATTTTTTTCCAGATTGCTACTTTGTTTTTTTTCTTCATATTTTTATGGGTGCATTATAATTATACATAACAATAGAAGTCACTGTTACATATTCATATGTGCACACAATGGGATAATATAACTCAGTATCAAGTCTCAGTATCTTCCCTTTTCCTTCCCTCCTCTGTTTTTCTGGTCCCCTTCCTCTAATCTCCTGGTCTGTCTTTCCTCTGGCATCTCCTTGTATGCCTTCTATTTTCATGAGATCCCCTCCACACACCTTTTTTCCCTGGGTTGGCATTTCAACATTGCTTTATATAGTCTTTCATA